TAGTACTCTTATTTTTCATATGTCTTATAACATTTTGCTATTTCATCATCATAGGAGTTATTTTATCATTATTCATCAATTATTCCTAACTATGCTAAAAAAAAGACTAAAATATTGATAATAAGAAAATAGAAGAATGATGGACTTGCCTAGAATGGTGGTTCTCAACTGGAGGTGATTTTGTACCCCAGAGGACATTAGGCAATGTCTGGAGACATTTTTTCTTGTACTAACTTATGAGCATGCTACTGTCATCTAGAAGGTAGAGACTGGAGATGGTCCTAACATCCTACATTGCACAGGACAGCACCCCCGAAAACAAAGAACTGTCTGGCCCAAAATGTCAATAGTGCCAAGGTTGAAAAACCATTTTTTATTCTATGCTCATAAAGGCAAAACAGAAGAAAACGGACAGAGAAAGATCTTTCAGAATTATCAGATGAATCAAAATATGAATGCAAAGAGACAGAAAATAGTACATTAGATTCTAATTTTGATTGTGAAATTGGAAATCTCAAACTCTGAGTCTTCAAAGGATAATATTCTAAATTAATTTTCTGAAACTTAAGCATCAATGATTGAACAAAATATTTCTAAGGACAAAAAGGAAGTATAGTATTCTCATCCAGTCAGTCATTCAACATAAAGACCTCATTAAGCTATCTTCTATAACCAAACCTGAATCAACCCATCTTGCTAAAAGGGCGTATTCTTAATCTTTAATGATGTTTGTGCAACTATATTTATTTTAAATGATTCATGTGTGGACAGATGCAAATAAAGGTAGATGAAAAAACCCAAAATAATGTAGAAATTAAAAATGGATCAAATTAATCATTCTAATTAGTGTTTATAAATCTAAAAATGAAAATGCTTTGCAAATATGAAGCAAAGATGGCAGACTTCTCTTCGACAAAATCAAATGCTATCAAAGTTCGTAAAAGTATTGTGTTTTGAGTATGCAAATGCACGAAGTGCTAGAAGTAACAATAAGCTAGAACCTATCAAAGACATATTCCAAATCATTTATAGCTGAGATCAATCTAATTTTAAGAAAATTAAATATAAAAATGCTAATTACAAAACAAGATGAACCATTTGTTGTTTTGTACAAATAGCTCTATTTAGTCCTTAAGTACCTGGTACATTAAAAATATAATTAAAGTAACCTAATATTTTAAGCACAGTTATAGTGCATAAAGACTTTTCCTTATTCTTTAATAATGGAAGAAAATCATTTATAAAAAACTAAAGTTTCTTTAATAAGATCTCAAAATACCATGAATATGCTATTAGTTTCACTGTACACTTTGAAATGAAATCTAAAAGAAATATGAGGTGAAACCTTCAAAGTTGCTACAACCTCTGTAATTTCAAACCAGAACTAATTTCAAGGCAAAATTTTTACAAAGAACTGCTGAAAGATGAGTAAGTTATAATATTCTGAAAAATAGAATAATCTCTTTAGTTTGATATTACAGTTTATAGTTTAAGGGTTTAAAAAAATAATATTGAAACAAAATTAGAAAAATGCTTATACCTTAACAGATTGCAAGATGCTGCTCCCCTGCTCAGTTTCAATTTTGCAATCATCACACTCAATATTCTGAACTTTTACACAGCCAGACCCTGATGACTTGATATTCAAACCTAGAAGTGAAAAAAGAAAAAACAAGTTAGCACTACAGTAAATTAGCTCCAAAGCATTTTAGTACACCATAGAAATCCAGCTCCTCAGTTATATCCATAATATTTCTGAATCCTGGAGAGAGCATAGTTGTAAACAGCCTCTCCCTAAAGGTAAGGGGTCTCCACCATGGCAACAGGACAAAATGCAATCGCCTGTCTGCCAATTTTTAGAAAACAGAGCAGTTATTTCTATTGGCCTATATCATCTAAGAGAGAAAATAACATAAATGGAAAATAAAAGAGGCAAGAGACTGCAATTCTTATAGGTACTCCCTGTGGAAGATCATGGAAGCTTCTTCTCTAGTATATGTGATCATGATTTAAGTCTTCAAATCCTACCTCTAACCTTTCATACCTAAATAATGAAAATATGACCATGCAGTTATATCCCAAGATATTTGGGGTAATTTTTACAAATGGGAACAAGTTTGAATAACCTAATAATAAATAGTATTAAAATCACAAGATTGTAAGTAAATAACAGTGATGTATGAAGAAAGTTTGGAAAATAAGGAATCACAGATGCCATCCTTGGCTGTCAATTTAAGGTGTAACCTTAGGCATCTCTGGGTACAAAAAATATTTAAAACATTGACATTTAATACCTAATTCACATAAAGGGGAAGCACTGGTAAAGAGAGAAGGAAACAGATTCTAAAGATACTCTATCCTTACTAGGTAGGTGGAGAAATTAAGGCTAGACACTGAGTAGTAGTTAATGACTGAAACAGGTAATAGACAAGCTACAGGAACAAGTATGAAGAAAATTGAGTTATGTTGATTTGAGGGTCCTGTGGAATAGATGCATGGAAACAGTAAATTGGAAATGGAGTTCTGGCTCTAAAAAGAGGAAGCGAAAAATAATAAAATTTGGAATCACCAGCAAAGATAGTATCCATTTTCATCTGTGCTGCCATAAACTTTGCTTAGCTGTATTTAAATGCAGTACTCAGCCTATTTTGTACTATTGGTAAATCTTTCTCCCCGCACCAAACTGTTAGATTTTGAGGGCAGGGTCTCATTCAGCTAGGCTACTTAAAATTTGAGAAGCATAGTGGTTGAACGGACTCCAGTCAGTTTAAATCCTAGCTCCAACACTTTATAACTGAGAGTACGCATGTATTCCTTGACCTACTCCCACTATAATGTAGCTTTCACGAAGCCATTTTTCTTCTATTTGTTCATCCACAATAAATAATTACTTTATGCAACTTTCTGTATATCAATTCCTTCATTTGAAATGGTGACAATAACAATACAGTAGTGCCCCCTTATCTGTAAGGGATACGTTTCAAGATCCCCTATGGATGCCTGAAACCACAGAGAGTACCGAACCTTACATATGCTGTTTTTTCCTATATACACACCTATGATCGAGTTTAATTTATAAATTAGGCACAATAAGAGATTAACAGTAACTAATAAATAGAACAATTATAACAATATACAGTAATAAAAGTTATGTGAATGTGGTCTCTCTTCACGAAATATTAATATTTTCAGACAGTGGTGGATGCATGTAACAAGACAAAAAAGCAAAACTACACATAAGGAGGGACTACTGTATCGACTTTATGGTGCAACTGTAAAGATTAGAAAAGATTATCTTAGAAATGTTAAGCGCTATGTTATGATCATCATCAATCTCACCCTTCAGCCCCAGGAAGAAGAGAACCTGAGGAGCCCTTCCTAGAGAAGTGTGTATACACAGTGGCTTGCATCTGGGAAGTAACATGGAACCCAAATACCTAGGAAACACATCTTCTTGCAAGCATTATTACTGAAATTTCCCAGGCAGTCTATTTGGTTACTTCAAAACTTGCTACTCATGGAGAACTTAGGCCACAAAGAATGGGAACATCAGTAAGAAGCTAGGTGCCTATTTGAAACCAAATGACTTGGTCCAGGTTAGATACGAAACATCCTTGAGACATGGCTGTTTTGGGACAGACTCCCACGCTGTGAGCAGGGGGAAATGTAGATGGATTGCCATATCATTGAACGGATGGATTATCAAGAACTTCAATCTTGAAAAATAAGCCAGTTTGCTTATGACAAAGTGACAAAGGAGAACACAAGGAGCTCCACAAATGTTATTTGACTTGGATTATTCCAAATCATGTTCCCATTTGATGTATAACATTTTTATAACCGGGAACCTAATTCTTAAATATTGCTCGGAAACTCAGAGTAAAACAGAAGAAAAGAGGCGGCTTCTCAAGGGGACAAGTATAAATCAGGTCAGAAAGCCAGGTCCAAAGGGCCCAATTAAAAGTGCACGTCCGCCAAATATAAGCAGTCCGTTATGCTGCCCGGGAACTCAAACTCGTTTTAACGTCACTTCACTTGCCAAACTTCAGGGGCGCGTTCACCTCCACGGACGCCTGGGGGTCGATGGTGTCGGACACGATGGCCATCTCTTTCAGAGCCTCGTCGTACTTCACCTGCAGGCTGTCTAGGCCCCGCGCCCTGTCCTCCAAGCCACACACCGCGACCAGCACGCGGTCGCCATCCGGGTAGGTGAGGGGGTCCAGAGGCCTCACGGCCAGGTGGCACGGGAGCCGCGCCCGCAGCCGGCCGAACGGGCTCACCAGCAGCGTCCACTCCCTCAGAGTCCGGCGCGCCGGGCCAGACGGAGGAACCTTGGCCTCCGAATCGGGCCATCGCTCCCCCTCACCTGAGCAGTACGGTCTGGCCTGGAAAGCCTGACAAGTCAAGGGCCCTGCGCCTGCCCACACTAGGAGCCGGCGGAGCCGGAGGCAGCCAGACCCCCAGCTTAAGCAGGGGGTGAGCATAGCAGGCCCCTCTCACCCTCACTCAGAACACCTTAGAGACAGAAGGGTGACTTGCCACAGTCAATCGACTGGGCCACCGTGCCGGCTCAAGTCAAAAAGGAGACTTTGCGAGGGTCTGCTGAAGCAAGAGCAAGCCCGCTCCCTTGGCAAGGCGATTTAAACCTCAGCAGCACAGGGGGAAGTTGGAATTTCAAAACTTGGAAGAATCAACTCTGACCGAGACTCCTTGCCTACTCCCGCCCCTTTCGCTAAGGCCGACGGGATTGGTAGTTCTAAAGGCGCCGGACGTCGAGGGGCTCTTCGATTTATAAACTACATATCTCAGGAGGCAGTGCGCGACAGTGGACCTGTAACACAGCAGGTATTATACTGTGCTCGGAAAGGCGTGCGCCCTTTGACTCAAGCCCATTGGCCATTGGAGGGGGCCGGAAAAAAAAAAAAAAATCTACATGGGACTCCAACTAGCCAATGGAAAGCGCGGAAAGGGCAAGCGGTAACGCTGCGTGGTCACCTTGGATACTGAGGACGCGATTTCTTATTTGGAGAGGGTGGAGCTTTGGAGTGAGACCCGAGGCCAAAACCCAAAGAGAGAAAAAGGAGCCTAAATAAGGATCAGGACCAAGGCGAAGGGTAAGAAATTGCGCTTTTAAAGATGAGAACTAGGTGCAAACTAGGAGTCTCCTTCGTGAGTGGTTAGACCCAACCTTCGCTAAACTAGTGCGGACGGGGGCCTCCTTGGATGGAGAATCTCGCCTTAACAAGAAAGTAAAGAGCCAAATTGGTGCTTTTTGAGGGGACTCCCTCTTCAATAGCAAATATAGGAATCTGGCTCCTTCCTGACCCTAAGTGACCTTATGCCAGACTTTGTATGCCTTTGGGTTTTAATTGCTGGCTTTTAAAATAAAGACATTAATACCTTCCTTGCCTTGCCTTGCCTCAAAGGGTTTTGTAAGGATCAAATAAGAAAATGGATGGGAACGCAGTGCACGTAGTCTACAAAACTGCAATGTACTGTATTTTTATTTCAATATACTTAGCATTCATTCTATGTTACCAAGACATCAGAACTTGTTTTGAGAGCATCTATGACTACAGTGATCCTCGGTTTGGGGACTAAAAAGAGATACAAAAAAAGAGAAAATCAACGTATGCAGTGGAAAGAGGGTGGAACGGGGCGTCAGATTCTTTTCCTGGCTCTGCCGCTGGTTTATCTGTGTCACCTGGACCCATTCTTAAGTTTTAAGATGAAGAAGGATTGTATTAAATGACTATGGTCTCTTTTACCTTTTATATTTAATTATTCTATAGGCAATAAAATAATGAAAAAGAAAAACAAAGATTTATTTTCTCCTTTCCTGCCTGGTTTCTCTCTCCTTTTCTGTGCCTCTAACTCTACCTATAAATTATTTCCTAATTTTTTTTAACTAAGACACCTGCAAGCAATGACATTTCATAAAATGCAAGTGCTGAAACTGGACTCCTCCAAAAGTTGTAGCTCTTGGCTAAGTGTAATGACCGGAATTTCTCTGAGCTATACTGATAGAGAGACAGATAGACTGCCCTAAAGGGCTCAAGCCATACATTCTTTGCTAACCATTACCTTTTTTAAAATGCAGTGTTTTCTTAAGTTATCATTTCCTCTTTTCTGTTCTCCTCCTGGTCCTTCCTCCCTCCTTATTCTTCTAACTTTAGTGAAGAAGTGCCCACAGAATGAATACTGGTTCTGTCCTTGGCTGTGTGTTTCATGTGGTCATGATTATTCAGACTAATCTTCAAGCTATCTTTTTTTAATGAAAACCCACAGTCATAACTTTGAAAAGAAATTTGAAAAAGGCACTGGTTTAAGCAAGTTGAGAATGTACTCAAATTCGTTGTAAAAGTGCTAGATTTTAGATTAAATATGAATCCTTAATAGATAATTCTGTTTCTATGGTAATTTTTCCTGATCTGAGACAAACTAAGTTAATGGAATTGGCAACTGAACAATAATTGTCTATGTTGCATAGTAATTATTTTACTATATTCAAATAAACAAAACTGAAATAGATTCAAATATAATTTAATATAATCCAATATATTCAAATAAAATTGACTGAAAAGTTACTTTTCTGGTCATATGAGGTTGAAATGGAGAAAATTGTTGTATTAAGATTGATAGAAGATATTAAAACATTATAGACACTTAAATATAATGAGTATCAAGTCTGTCCACATGACAATAGTGACTAAAAATATTGTACCTTCCATCTATATGACATTATAGTTTTCAAAACATGTTCATATGAATCATCTCACTGTATTCTCATAAAACACTCTCTGTTTAGGAGGACAAGTATTATTCTTCTTACATTATAGATGAGGAAACAGATTCAGAAAGATTAAGATCAAGCAATTAGAAGGTCTGGCCCTCTTATCACTCTACTAAAAGGACCTTCTATTTTCCTAACACCTTTGAAAAAACAAAGAAATCATTCACTTCGTAAATAGAGAATACTATATAACTTTTTTCTCCTTGTTTGTAGTTTACTTATAAGACATTTTTACCTGTTCAGTTTTAAAAAGCCATTTCTGTAGTCATGAACATATACTTCTGATGGGAATATATATTAGTACAAACTTTTTAGAGTTCAATTCAGCAATAAGCATGAAAAGGCTTAAAACTATGTTTATCTGTGACCCAGAAATTGTACTTTTTAGGATGTAAGCAGAAAATTAGGGATGTTCAAAGAATTTTGTTTTACAGGGTTACTTATAATAATCTCATCAATTTAAATTCTCCCAAATAAGAGGGTATTATATAAATTAGTATACATCTGGAATTTTTTTTTTCTTTGAGACAAGGTCTCGCTCTGTCACCAGGACTAGAGTTCGGTGGTGTGATCATAGCTCATTGCAACCTCAAACTCCTGGGCTCAAGCAATCCTCCTGCCTCAGCCTCCTGAGTAGTTGGGACTATAGGTGCATGCTACCACGCCTGGCTAATTTTTCTAGTTTTTGTAGAGACGGGTCTTGCTCTTGCTCAGTCTGGTCTCAAACTCCTGACCTCAAGCGATCCTCCCACCTCAGCCTCCTAACATGCTAGCATTACAGGTGTGAGCCACCATGTCTGGCCACATCTGGAATATTATACAACAATTTAAACATTATATTTTGAAGATGAGTCAATGATATGGGAAATATTCCCTAATAAGTGAAATGAGCAAATACAAAAGTGTATGTATAGTATAATCTCAGTTCTGTAATAATAATAAATTTAATATAAAATTATACTGCATAGAAACAATTGCAGAGGGATAGACACCACTTGATAACAGTAGTTATCTTTAAGCAGTGAGATTGAGTGCTTACTTCATTTTTTGTGCGATATCAATGGTGAACATATATTGAATTAATAAGTAAAAAATTTAAAAGCATTTTTTAACATATATTGTTTCCTAAGACTGACTCTAATAATCAAATGGGTGAAAGATTTCTTACCATGTAAATATAAATGTCAATGAATATTTTATTTAATGATTTATGTTCAATAAGTGAACAGCAGAGGGCATGAGAGAGTGCTCAGAAGAAAATGTAAACAAAACAGGATTCAGAATTCAGTTTAAGTGAGGAAAGCCATAGGAATTTAATTTTCTGAATTATAAACTATTTAAAAAGAAATATATCTTATGACATCTATTATTCTTATTAAATATTAATAAACTCAATAACATAAACTAATAACTAACAATACTGAGAAATATTTACTGTGTAGGTAGTCCTATTTGAAATCTCTATGTGAAACTGCAAATAGAGACAGTTTTACTTCTTTTTTTCTGTAATAATCTGCATGGCTTGTATTTCTTTTCTAAGATGCCTGTACAATATTGGAGTGGTGGAAGTGGAAATTGTCTTATTCGCAGTCTTATGGGGGAAAGCATTTGGTATTTCACCAGCAACTATGAAGTTAGCTCTGGTTTTTTCATAGATGAGCTTTAGTAGGTTAAAGGACTTTAATTCCTAATTTCCTTAGACTTTTTTTAATTTCGGCATACTTTGGGGGGTACAAATGTTTAGACTTTTTATTATGAGCAAATGTTGTATTTTGTCAAATGTTTTTTTGGCATTTATTGAGATGATCATATGGTTTTTCTTCTTTAATTTATTTATGGGGTGTATTACAATGATTGATTTTCAAATGTTGAAGTACCTTTCGTTCCCTGGATAAACTACATATGGTCATGTTATGTTATCTTGTTTATAAATGTCTAGATTACATTTGCTAACATCTGTGAGGATTTGTGTTATATTTTCATGGAGGATATTGGTCTGAAGTGTTCTTTTACATCTTTTTCTGGTTTTGGTATCAGGGTAAAATTAGGAGGCAAATGTTCCCTCTTTTATTTTCTGGAAGATTTGTACAGAACTGATATTCTGCTTTTGTTTTACTTACCTCACTCAGGAGTCAATATGCTTTCTTTATCCAAAGTCTTCAACTTGTAAATCTTCAGCCTCTCCCTCTTCTTTCTATTCTTTACTTCTGGAGCTCTTAACCTAGATATATATTATCATTCACGTCTCTTAACTTGTGTTCACATGATTTGTGCTTCTTCATCTTTTTGTATTTCAGTCTGGATGATTTCTTCAAATTTATCATATAATTCACTAATTCTTTCCTAATCTTTGCTAACCCAATGTTTAATGTCTGCATGGAGTTTTTCATCCCAATGACTATATTTTTGCTTTTAGAAGATTTATTTTGTTCTTTCACAAATCTGCTTTCTCTTATTTTAAACTGCTCTATTTATTTATTGTGGTTTCTTTACCTTCTCTTATCTCTTTAATTATTTTAAACATATTACATAAAATTATTCTGTTATGTTATGTTTTGGGATTGCTATTTCTCTGTTGTTGCATGAACACACTCTCTCTCTCTCATGGTGGTTTATTTCCTGTCATGGCTTGTAAATTTTTATTCATAGCTGATCTTCAGCAGGAGTTCTTTTTTGTGAAATCCCTTAAATTCTGGATTATGATAATTCCCCTCCGGAATAATTCTACATTTGCTTCAGTCAGAGCCCTACCAATTTCCATGGTCATGGGCCAGGTTTTCGATTTTTATTTATTTTCTCTTGTTTTTGCTTCATATTTTTTGTACAAAGTAGTTCATTCATATAAAAGTATGAATATAAAGTATTAATAAAGTATAAAGAGTAATAGTGAAAAGAACATCTTTGTACCTAACACCCAGTTTAAGAAATAAGACACTACCAATGAGTTTGAATTTCCTTTTTTACTCCTTTATTTTCTGGCTTTCACCCTAAAGCAAACCAAACGGAGAACCGTAAAGAAGAAAGGGGGTCCTACAACACAGAGGGCTCAGGGAAATCCCTGTTTTTTTTCTTTTCTTTTTGCTCTTCCAAGGCCAGCTCCAAACACAGATTTGCACTGCCACTGCCAGGCTATGAGGATACCAAAGAGTAAAAGAGAACACTGTCCTTCTAAATAGAGGAACTGGGAAAAGAATGGGGTTGAGGGGAGAATCTTCACACTCTTCTCTTTTTTCTTGCTGTGTTACCTTAAGGGCAGCCTCAACTACGTGGAACTGAATGGCACCATAAAGCAAAAACTAAGAGAACACGATCTTTCTGGCC